CGAAAAGGCATTTGACTGTGTAAGATGGTCTCTCCTGTTCAAAGTTTTAGCAAAATTTGGCTTTCAGACCAACATGATTGAAATGATTGCAGCACTTTATGACAGACCTACAGCCAGAATTAAAATCAGTGGTGATCTTACTAAACCATTTCAATTGAAAAGTGGTACAAGACAGGGGTGCTGTTTGTCACCACTCCTGTTTGCTATATTCATAGAACCCCTAAGTCAGATGATACGAGAAAATGCAGTCATTAAAGGTGTCATAACTCCCTCAGGGGAACAGAAGCTGGCTCTATTTGCAGATGATTTACTCGTAATGTTAACCCAGCCCACACAAACGCTACCAAAGTTAATGGAAATGTTGAGGCAATTCGGTGCACTTTCAGGCTATAAATCAATATAAAAAACCGGTCTTATCAATTAACTATAACCCCCCAGCACAGATCGGGACAGTCTACAAATGGAATTGGGATGTAGAATACATTAAATATCTTGGAATTAACATACCAAAGAATTTATTAAAATTATTTGACCACATTACTGTCCTCTTAATGCAAGAATAACAGCAGACATACAGAGATGGAGTGTCATACCTTTTTTATCCCTTAGTTCCAGAATTATGTCCATTAAAATGAACCTTCTCCCATGTTTATTATGTTTTTTCCAATGTCTTCCAGTAGAAGTGCCTCAGAAATATTTTTCAGATTGGGATAGATTAAAATCTAGGTTTTTACGGCAAGGGAAAAAACCCAGAGTTAGGTACAAAAACTCTGTGGCTAAGTAAGGAAAAGGGAGGAATGGGCCTCCCCTGCATTCTGGATTATTACCTAGCAGCTCAGCTTAGACCACTAGCATGCCTATGTTCACCAATCTATTCAGCAGGATGGAAAGATATGGAAGGCATAAGTATAAAAGACATTCCARTAATAGCCATACTTTCAGATAAAAATTACAATCACAACTGACCATCTCAGATTACMCAATGCTAGATGTACTACAAAAGTCATGGCAAGATGCAATTAGAATATGCAAACTAGGTGAGGCTACAAAAATTTTGAGATGCTGTGCTTTTGACTCAAATTTTGTACCCAATAAAAATGATGTAGGTTTTAAAAAAATGGTTCCAAAGGGATTATCCACCTATTTCTCRTTTACCCACAAGGGAGTATTTCAGAGCTTTGAATCTTTGAGAAATAAATATAATTTAGAAAAGGAAGACTTTTATAGATACCTGCAAATCAGACAATACTATAATCAGAATCTGAAAGAATTTTATGTTAGT